AGAGAGAGAGAGAGAGAGAGAGAGAGAGAGAGAGAGAGAGAGAGAGACCATATACTTGCATACGCATACACTATGAAGAATAAATGATAGAAAGATAAATAAAAGAGTTACTTTTTACCTCAGAAAAACCATGTACCCAGGTATGACTGCTAACCCGTAGAAGAAGGCGCAAAATACCGTTATGATTAAGAAGTACTGCAGCTTGTTAGCACACTCGGGGCCTTTGTTACACAGCCCCAGGACTGCAGATGAGTTTGCTGGTGACCAAATGCAGCTGCAATTTTGAAACACCTGTTAAAAAAAACAAAACAACAACAACAACAAAAACCAATGTGCCATTTAAGGAAGAAGAATATCGGACTTAAACCTTTAGCATCTTTTTACATAACCAGGTAGTAAGATTAAAATGGAAAGTGTTGGGTCAGTGATGTGACTCAGAGGAAGAACACTCATCTAGTTTATATGTGGACCCAAGTTGGACACTGTTGGGAGCCAACTTCTAGCCAAAAGTGGCTATCATCTTTGCAGCCATCTCGAGCCATATATCCTGACAAGAGACTTGTTTTCAACAGCTCAAAACAGCTGAGCACACTCTGATAAACATCTTGTTTTTCTCACATATCTTGTTTTGCTATTTAGTGCGGCCAGCAGCTAGGTGCACGTGATATCCACGCTGCTGGGCGTACGTGGTCTCCTCACTGCTAGCTAGGTGCACGTGATATCCACGCTGCTAGGCACATGACGTAGTGCCTTCAGCTATGCTTGTCCACGAGGGCAAGGCACGTGGTAAAGGGTATAAATATCCAGGATTTCCTTCCAATAAAGAGACTTGAGAGACTTGATCAGACTCCCTGTCTTGTCTCCATTCTTCCTGTCTCTCGTCCCTACTCTCTCTCTTGCTAGACCCTGACCCACGGACCAGAGCAGCAGAATGGGCCGTTACAAAGTGGCCCCCCGAACGTGGGGCAGCTCGGGCGGTTACAGGGCACAAACACCATAAATAGAAAATATTAAATAAATAAAATTGAGGTTTCTGTTCATCCTAATTTCCATCACTCTTTGTTGTTGTTGTTTGTTGTCGTTTTCTCTTTGTATCTCAGAATTCAGTCATAAAATATAAAGAGGCAGAGAGGTCAGGGACACCACAAGAAAAGCTACAGAATCAACTATTCTTGGCCCATATGGGCTGAGACTGAACTGCTAACCAAAGAGCACTAATGGAATGACCTAGGCCCCCTGCACTTATGGAACAGTTGTGCAGCTGGGAACTCATGTGGAACTCCTAAGGCAGGGGCAGAGGATGTATCTGACTACATTGCCTGCCTTTTGTCTCCTTTCCACTGACTTGCTGCCTTGTCCAGTCTCAATGCAACAAGATGTTCCTAGTCTTGTTGCAAATTGCTATGTCAAGGCTGGTTGATATCCATGGGAGGCCTCCCCTTTTCTGAAGAGAAGGGCAGGAGGAATGAATTGGGGGAGAAGGTAGAGAGGGAACTGAGAGAGGGGAGGGGAAACTGCAATTGGAATGTAAATAAATACCTTAACAAAAATACATATAAAGAAGTACAGTTTTTTAGAAAATATTTATTTTCTAAAATACATGGAATAAATTTACAAAAATTCAATTATCCTTAATGCATACTTCACATTTTTACATTTATTTACATTTATTTGGTTGGTTGTGTTTTCTCATAGACGTGTGAGTGTGTGTGTGTGTGTGTGTGTGTGTGTGTGCATGCATATACATGTGAGTACCTATGTATGGACATGTGTTTACCATGACATCCAAGTAGAAGTCATAGAATAAGTTATGAGATTTACTTCTCTCCTTATACAACATGGGTCCCAACATATAATTCTGGTTGTAAAGCTTAGTGGCAAATGCCTTTACACACTGGGCCAACTTTAGAGTCTATGCATAACTAACTAACTAAATTAATAATAATAAAATAATTGATAAAAAGCCCATGATATGAAAAGTTTTCTGTTGAACTCAACTACACAGCAATTCTGAGGCCATCCTGAGACTCACGAGACCCTATCACAACAAAGGGAAAATTCTGTCCTGAGTAATTTAAAGTTTTCACTTTAATGTTAATTTCTGTGTATGCATCTGTGTCTATCTGTATACAAGCAGGTACATGTGGATGTCTGAGAAAGACAGAAGAGAGTGACAGATGACCTGGAGCTGGAGTAGTGACCTTCCTCATGTGGGTGCTGGGAACTAAACATGTCTTCTGAAAGAGCAGCAAGTGCTCTTTACAGCCGAGCTATCTCTCCAAACAAACCAGAGCATTTTAACACTAGTCATTTGACTAGTGATCTCTACTTCTTTGCAATTACAAAATAATGCTCAGACTCTGACAAGGTTTTGTATGACATCTAAGAATTTTAAGGTTACTTATGTGTATACAAAATAAAATGAGTTGTTCACAAAAAATATATAAATCTATTCTATCTATTTTGAGCATGACTAATTTTTTTAGTAAACGTAGGCTTAGCTCATAGCACATGCAGTACACAAACAACAGCCCAAACACTGAAAGGATGCTTACCATCTTGATTCCTTTTCCAACAGACTTTTCACAGCCTGCAAGGCAAGGAGACATGTATGCTAGGCCATTGTCCCCACACACTGGATCCCATGATTTTGTTAAGCAGTCACACCTTGTGTTGCAGTCAGCAAGGAACTTATTCTCCATATCAAAAGGCTGCTGAATGCTGAAATAATTTAAAATGATGTCACAGATACAGAAAACCCACACAAGCACTTTTTCTTCCCTTCATCCCGGCATGCATGCACTCAGATGCACAAAACCAAAAGGGGAAGTGATGGATAGATAGAGGAAGGAAAGCAAGAAGTGAGGGAGGAAAGAAAGGAAGAATGGAGGGAGGGAAGGAGAGAGAGGGAGAGAAAGAGAGAGAGAGAGAGGGGGGGAGGGGAGGGGAGGGGTAGGGGGAGGGGAGGGGAGGGAGGGGGAGGGGAGAGGAAGAGGGAGAGGGAGGGGAAGAGGGAGGGGGAGAGGAGAGGGAGATGGAGAGGGAGAGGGAGATGGAGAGGGAGAGGGAGAGACAAGGACAGAGAGAGAAAGAGAGAGAGAGAGAGAGAGAGAGAGAGAACACGCACTTGTGCATAGACACACGTGTACAACAGCATGTATATGGAGGTCAGAATATAACCTTTTATCTTGTTAGATGTTAGAGACATCCCATGCTGTTGACTGCTGAAAATACCAGACTAGCAGGTCCAGGAAATTTGAGTGTTTTTCTGCCTAGGCTATTCAGCTCACAATAGGAGTGCTGCTATTACAAATAGACAACCATGTCAAGTTTATGTGGGTTCTGGGCACCTGAACTCAGGACTTCCTGCATGCCCAGCAAGCATTTTGCAACTGCATTGTCTCCTCAGCCCTTTGAAGGGAATCTCTAAGTGTATGTTTTACTTCATTTAACAGATTGGTTGATTATATAACTGTGTCTTAAACTAAGTTTTTAATTTCCAAGGCTAATACAAAATATCGACAGGCAACACTTGAAATATAAAATCTAATATTTCAGAGTACATAAGATATAAGTACACCAGTGAGATTATATATATGTATGTATATATACATATATATATTTACTTAGCTTCAATAATTAATATTAGACTCAATTACGCTAAAATTGAGTCCATTGTAGGTACTTATGAAGGCTTGCAGACTACAGAGTCAACTTTCACAACTCTCTATGTTAGAATAAAATCCATGTATAATTTAGGCTACAAAGCCTAGGTTATATTTTGTTATCACATCTTAAAATAGACTAGGAAATCATCATGGCAACTACATATATAAATACAGAATCATAAATTTAGTCACTTTGGTCCTCATACATCTTTAATAAGCATATAACTTCCATGGGCTGGTATAGAATTAATGGGTGGAAAGAAGCTACAAAATAACCATGGATCATTACCCTTAATTTGTAATAAAATCACCTGGCCAATATATAACCTATGGAGAACGTGGACTACTACTTGTAAAATTATTATGATATTCATAAGGAGACAACATACCCTTCATAAGAGGTAGTTAAGCCAGCAATTGGAATGTTATCACAGGTTAGCGTCAAGTTGCAGAGGGATAGAAGGCACTCAGACATGGATAGGAAAAACGCTACACATGCAGCTTTCTTGAGAGCAATCTTGAACTTCTTCATAATAAAACCACTAATTAAATATCCAACACATACTGATGGTGTGGTATAAAGACCTATAAGTGTAAGTAAAATAGCATTCATAAAAAACAGGAGAAAAATAAATATGTTAATTTGCCTAATACATCTTACTTTAGAAACTATTAAGTTCAAAAAAAATAAAAGAAGCTATTTAGTTCTGATATTTACTTCTGATATTCAGAGACTGTAACTCCTATTGCCTCACAAATTATATAAAAAGAGGTTCTCCAATGCCCCAATAAAGTCACTGTAAAAAGACTATTAGCATTTTAACATTTGCAGAAAGTTATAAAGACTTTATAAGCATAACACACAAACACACATACATACATGCATACAATATATGTATATATTAAATATTTTACATATTTCTTTCCACTCTGTTTATTTGGACTTTGATTCCGATTCAGCTCCAGGTGATTCTGAAGGATGCTGCTGTAATCATGGTTGCCAAGTGTAGAGCATTTTATGTAATATATTTTGCCCAGCGTTGTTCATCCCTGGCTCTTTTTTCACAGCCGAAAATCAAAGGGGAAAAAGAAAAGGAAAAGGAAGGAGAAATTCCTGGCTAAGCTGCACTCGTACAACACCAGCCCCAGGCTTGGAAGAATGTAACCATCCTTTGCAGCTCCATGCCACTGCATTTAATTTTATACATCTGAAGATGAGGACTGGGATCTGGACTTTCAGAGAACCCTAGATAATGTGGATGCTAGCAGTCTGTGACAGTCAGTTTTTAAGGGTAAAGTAGGATCTCTAGGTTTAGTTTACTAAGAAGAAAAGCAAGAGTTGCAGCACACACACTTCAGATCACCAAGCAATTGAATTTGTAGTAACATGGAGAACTGAAGCCCAGAACTGAAATCTAGGAGTGAGATTAAGAATCCCAGTGAGCTAACTCTGTATTCCTCTCTGAATTAACATATTCCCTGTCTAAAAATTGACTGACATGAGCTATCTCCCAAGACTTCCATAACTCTGATTTCCATTCAAATTGGACAGATAACTAGAGAATATTTCTGGACTATTTGTTTCCCTGTCATGCCTTAATTTCCCTGGATATTGAAAAAGGAAATTTATAAGAATATCCTAAAAGATTTTAAATACATTTTGATCTATTGGTCGTGCTATTTTTACCATTTATCATGTCCTTGGAGTGCTATTTAAGCATGTCCCTCTGGGAGGAGAAGTGCTACCAAGCAAATAATGAAACTACATACCAATGAGGAACATTGCCTCTGCAGTGGATTTTCCATAATGATGTTCCAGGTACTTAGGCTTGAAAATAAAAATACTGACAAATCCATTTATCTGGAGCACACTTGTAAGGACACAAAGCATGTAAACTGGATTGCAGGAGAGTCTCTTCACAAAAAGAAAGAAATCTGAAACAAGAGAGTGTCAAAACCATCAAATCAACCCGGCCTGTGCTGTGACACAAATTCATTTGATAGATCTTTACCCCTTTGTGGCTAAAGTTCTAGAACATTGTTTCAGTCAAATCTAGAAGTCAGTGACACAACAGGCTATGTAAGAATCAGAATACAATTGTGCCACCAAACAAAACTATAAGGAGATGGAATCAAGTCTGTGGCCACTCTGTTTTATTTTTCTCTCTGTATCTTCTATTAATATCCTGATTTCACTAAAGAGTGATGAGTCTGTTCTCTGGCATCATCAAGGAACTCACTTTGATGATCTATGAGTCCAGACACTGAGGCTATCATAACGATGCAAGAATAGATAAGCTACAAACTAAGGAATGCTCCTGGAATCATGCAGTAGCCCATACAACCTCAGCATCTCTCCAGAGCTTCACAGCAGGCCATGCATTAGAACACCTAGTGATAACCACAAACATCTCAGAATGAAGGTCTCGCTGTAAGGAATGCTGATTCAGTTGGTATATATGAAGTACTTTCCAAGTGATTGAACCAAAAATTTTCCATGTTTAAGAAGTTGAGAGTCAGGTTTAAAGCCTTTCCCTAGGAAATGAGCTGAATGTAACTGAATATAATTTGGGTGAAATTTATACTTATTAGTTTCTTTCCTTTTCATGTCTTCATATTGAACGCCTTACTTTCTGATTATATTGTATCCCTAATAAATTGGCTGTGATTTAATTGAGAGAATAGTATCAAAAAGAGAGCATTTAGAAGTGGAGGCAGAACAGTTTAATAAAAGCAAAGGAACTCTAGTGTCAAATCGATTTTTATGAGTGAGATGGCTGCAGTCAGTATTCCTGGGAACTTTTGAATTTACACGTTTGTAAACATTCCTGTTCTCTTAAATAACTCTCCAGTGTTCACAGTAATTATCTGCATGCCTTATTCTCTGGTAGGCTCTTTCCTTGTTTTGAAATTTACATTGATCTGGCAGACAACAAAGTCTCCCAAAACAGTCAGTATTTGCCCTTTTGGGAGAATCCTTAACATAATTCTAAGAATGTTCAAACCTATGCACTGGCTCCCTAGGCATGGACTGTAATGTTTAAAGCAGGGATGTGACTATTCAGTGCACATAGGTGTTGAGGGCTGTGTGTGAAGGAGGAAATAGCAGTATCACCAACAAAGTCCCCTCCACAGTAGTCTGTACCCAAACAACACAGAAACCCAGGAATACAATGCACTCTTACCCTCATTTGATAGGTAAAGCACTGGCCCCTCCCATCTTCCAACTATACACTTTCAGACTAACCCTGATCTCTTGAAAACACTGCACAGGTCTCAACACACACAGTTATGACACTAGAGTTAAGTTTTAAGAATGTACACTGTTGGGCAAGTAAGATGGCTCATTGTTTAAGAAAACTGACTGCTCTTCAGGAGGTCATGAGTTCAAATTCCAGCAACCACATGGTGGCTCACAACCATCTGTGATGAGATCTGATGCCCTCATATGGGTCTCTGAAGACAAATACAGTGCACTTTGGGCAGGAGCAAGTGGCCCTGGGCAAGCAGGGGCTGGAGCAAGATGGAGAAGGGAAGGAGAAAAAAGAAAAAGAAAAAAAAAGAATGTGTACTGTTGAACATTCTGCTGCCCCACCTTAGTTTCTCACAGAAGTATCTCTACATCAGTGATTGATAACATCCCTGCTTGTTGTAAAACTGTCTGTTCTAAGGGAGCAATTGTCCTGTAATCTATCACACATCTTCAAATATAGAGGATTACATCACCTATCATGTTTTCTCTTTCAGCCCTGATTTCAAGGATGCTCACAGCTAAACTTTTTTTTAATTAAACAGATTTTTTTAATATTTAGCTTTAGCTTGGATTTCTGGCTACTTGTATTTTATATTTACTTACACCAATACTTTCTGTAAAGTGGGATTTTCAGACAGATGGAAAAATATATTTGTTCATTGAATATGAATATTGACTTCTATTTCTCACAAGGTCTAATCTAAGATAAGTCAGGTTATTTTAGCAGATCCATTATTTTCAAGTGGTAACTCTGGAAGAAGTTTATCATATCTAAGTAGGGACAGATTAGTGACAAACTATCTCAACTCAGCACAAGTGATGAGTGCCAACTACCCACAGACTCATCTAAACCAGAGTTTAAAGTTTTCCTGTTTGCCTTTAGTGTATCCCCATTTTTCTTCTTTGGCTTTTTCTCTGTGTTTCTCTTCTTTGTCGTTTTTAGTTTCGTCTGACTTATCCTCGGGTCCTTCCTTTGGGAGTGTTCTTGGAAAGAAGAAATAGGGGATGCCAGTCAAGATATTCACTCCTCCACAAACCAAAAAGCCAATCCACCAAGCACCGACCCATCGTGTATCCCTGGGACTTATGGTCAGGTCATCTGAAAAGAAATATAGATAGTGTATTAGCTTACATTATTCTTTTTGTGTAAATTGTAGAAACTTATTACACTTCATGATTCCATCTGAGCATAGACTTTGTATATATCACTTGTTGTTGTTCTTGTTTGGGCCTTGAACTTGTTATCCTCTGCCTCTGCTTCTTAGTGCTGGGATTACTGGCATCTCCAACCCCACTGCGCTAATTCAGACCTTTAGAAAAAAAAATGTCTGAGGTTGATTAATTGAACAAAGTTAAAACTAAGAAGAAGAGGTTCTGGAGTACTACGTGGAGAAATATTTAAAACTACATTTCAAAAAGACTTAAGCAACAGTTGAGACACATTTAAGCAACTAGTTTAAACCTGATGTAGTCGTGTCTCAAAACATCACAGTGAATGAGGAAGGAGGATGGAGTGACAGTTAAGTGGCTAAAGAGTTATTGTTGAATTTAAAGAGGTCCTGAGTTCTATTCCCAGAACCCACATGAAATCTCACAATTCCTGTAACTATGATTTCAGGAGTCCTGATGCCCTCTTCTGACATAGCTGGCACCAAAACCCACAGTGAACACACACACACACACACACACACATACACACACACATACACACACACACACATACACACACACAGATAATAAGATAAAATACAAGTTATCCAATTATTATTTTCATTTTGTTTATTCATTAAAAATTAACTAATTTTATCTGGCAGTTGGTGATATATTTTCCAGTAGTAAATGAGTATTTTCACTTGTCATGTGAAACCTTTATAACTTGTTACCCATCATGTAACTAAATATGTTTTGTTATCCATACTGACTATCTCATTGAATAATAAAAAAAAAATTCTATGTAAGCAAATTTTTAAAACCAGTAATGTCAGGAGCCATAATGGGACAAGCTAATAACTAGCAGATGATCATCCTGAAATGACTTGCCTTGGATTATTATATAATCTGTGACAAGTGAGTCCTTATTCACCAAGGCTGTAAGGAACTTATTCTAGGAAAGATTCCTGTTATCAATATGCCTTTCCTATTATTATTAAACATATGTAACAGTCACTAAGCAATTGCACACCCCTTTGGAGGAGATCTCTGCAGATCCACAAAGATGTGCTGTCTTGTAGTGATGCTACACAGACAAATAAATTACTTCTTAAGTCTTTATGATGATTCCATAAGAATTCCTAAAATTATATCAATGATTATTAAGCTCTTTTATATTGAAACTGCTATTAGGTCCCTTTCTGATAGACAAAACTGCAATGAAAACTCTGCCAGTCTCCCAAGTGTCATCAGTTAATTGCTCTTGGATAGTAACCAGACTTTCTACTACTCAGAGCACATTCCAAGAGGTTGTAAAACAATTAACCAAAGGACACTAAAAGGGAACTAATGATTTATTATTAGTGCTAGGACAGAAGATAAAATATGGCCTGGGTTTATTTATACAAAACTTCACTAATGTCTTAGTTATAGTTTTAAATCTTCAGTAAACCTGTGGAGCTAGTCAGGTGACAGATGTTTAGCCAGATAATTACTTCTGATGGATATGCATGTGAACATTCTCTGTTGTAAACTTCTATTTCAATTTATGATTTGATTTTTGGTGTGAACTTGTGATGAACTTTGTAACATGTGATCATGTATTCTGAAAGACATATAAGTACTGGGGACAAAGAGATGAGAGGCAGATACAATGGAGAGATATAAGAGAATTTTTTGCCTTTCTCCACTTAGAGTAGTATATAGAATAGAATTTTTCCCTTTTCCCAGATAGGAGTTTTCCTTTTCCCCACTTAGGACCTTTCCACTTTTCCCTTAGATACCTTTCATAGGAAACTTTTTACCTTTAGTAATAAACTCTATAATAACTTCTCTAAGTGTCTTTTCTTCCTGCGACCTCAGACTAGCAGGCATATATTAGAGCCCAGCAGTTTCTGCTGAGATAGAACAAAAGCTATTTACTTAATCCTTTGCTGGTTTTAGAATGAGATGCTAAGTGTGAGAAACTGCAGTTTCTTGCCTCTGAGGATCACAGAAGGCAAGTGAGCTACAGTAGCATAATAAGTAAACTTTTCTAGCATAGGTAAGTAAACTTTTATTATACAGCAACCCTAAATATCTCGTAAGACCAAGTCTTACCCCCACTGACATCCTTCTCCCTCCACAGCCTCACGAAAAACTGACAAGAAGAAGAAAGACCACCATCCCCAATGCAGGGGCTGGCCCCTGACACAGTAGTATGGCGGAAATATGATAGGGGAATGAAGAATTTTGAATCAGAATGTGGCATTTTATCCTTACCACTGCTGCCCTTGGATCTATCATCTGTAAGTGGTGATAATTTGCTTATGATAATTAACTGATCAAAAGAGACATTGGTATAGCACTCCAGAGTATTCTCTCACACTCTGGGGACTAGACTTTATAAATAAAATTCATTGTGTTACCTGTATTCACAGACCCTGTGTCTACATAAATGGTTGCACAGAAAGGTCCCAACCAAAGTCCAATTAGTGGGCCAATAATCTTTCCAACTTCTAAAATCCCTGGAAGCAAACAAAGACAGGTCATTATATAGTTAGATTTCTTCCCCTTAGTTTATAGAGCTGGATATCAAATCCAATGAGCTACATACCTCACATCCTTTTATATATTCAACATACAAAAGAATTGACCCTGATATATATATATATATATACATATATATATATATATATATATATATGTATATATATATATATATATCATGCACGTATGTATGTTAAGTGTACATGCATTGGTTCTTGTAAATACTAAGAAGCTCCAATTGTTTTAATATAAAGTATCCTGCCATCTCTTACAGACTTGTTTCCCAGGGGGCACCACTGGAGTATGATGGAACAATTCCCCTGCTTATTATATTTGCTTCCAGTCAAAAGACAAATGGTTTTACTTCATGCACATTTCCACCAATATGATCTTCCTCATGGTAGTCCTCCAAACCACACAGTCCAGTGAAATAGACACAAAGCCTCAAAGATGTGAGCCAAATGAATCCTTTTACTTCACAAACCATTAACTCGGGTATTTATTAAAGTGAAAGAAAGATGATTGACACAGAAATGTCATTACTTAAAGCAACATTTCAAATTCTCTTTTATGCTGAGATAAGGGCAAAGGCTGTACTATCACAGACAGTCCCAACAAAGCCATGATGCAAGCAAGGTCCTTTGATGCTGCTGTAGCCAAGTTTTCAAGAGAGTTTCTGTGATGATTAGCTTTCACTGTCAACTTGACACAACCTAGAATTACTGAAAGGAAAGTCTTAATGAATACTCTCCACAATGGGTCAAGGTTATTTTTGTTTCCTCAGATGTGGAGATGCAAGACATTCTAACTCTTTCTGAACACTCACTGGCTGGTTCAGTTCAGTTGTTATACCCTGCACTCCTGACTTATTCAAACAGAGTTCTCTTGGCTTCTGATGGAATTACTCTGCCTGGCCTCAAACTAATTTGGACAATATGTTTTTGTTGTTGTTGGTGGTGGTGGTGGTATTTTTAATTAATTATTTTATTTACTTTGGGCCCAATTGTTGACCATGATCCCACCCTTGCAGAGTTTTTTGCCCTCCTCTACACTCTGCGTGCACCCCCAGGGAATCCTCCCACCCTGGGGCATCAATCCTCTACAGAATTAGGAACATCCTCTCTTACTGAGGCCAGATAAGGCAGCCCTCTTCCACATGTGTTCTGAGGGCCTCAAACTAGTCCTGGAAGTCTCCTCCATCCCAGGTCACTGAGACTTCCTAGAGATCACCCGCCACTGCCCACTTTTTCCACACACAGCCCGCACTCTACCCCCTACCAGTAGCTGCAGATTTCTATTCATTCTCCTGGCTCTCTGGGCATCTCTCCCATTTCACCCCAAACTTGATCAGGCCCCCCTATTCCCATCCCCACCCCCTCTCCCACCAAGGTCTCTCCCTCTCTCTGCCTCCCATGACTATTTTGTTCCTTATTCTCAGTGGGATTTAAGCATCCACACTTAGGCCTTCTTTCGTGTTTAATTTCTTTAGGTCTGTGGGGTGTATCACAGGTAGTCTGTACTTTGTGGCTAATATCCACTTATCAGTGAGTACATACCATGCATGTACTTTTGGGTCTGGGCTACCTCACTCAGAATGGTATTTTCTTGTTCCATTCATTTGCTTGCAAATTCATGATGACCTCATTTTTCATAGCTGACTAGAATTCCACTGTGTAAATTAACCACATTTTCTGTATACATTCTTCAGTTCAAGGACGTCAGGACTGCTTAAAGTTTCTGGCTATTATGAATAAGGCTTTTATGAACATAGTGGAATATGTGTCTTTGTGGTATGGTGGGGCGTCTTTTGGGTATATGCCCAGGAGCAGTATACCTGTATCTTCAGGTTTACAATCCCACCAGCAATGAAGGATTGTTCCCCTTTCTGCACATCCTCACCGGGCATGTGCTGTTGCTGGAGTTTTTTGGTCTTAGCCATTCTGATTGGTGTAAGGTAGAATCTTAGGGTTGTTTTGATTTACATTTCCCTGATGACTAAGGATGTTGGACTTGTCTTTAGGTGCTTCTCAGCCATTCAAGATTCCTCTGTTAAGAATTCTCTGTTTATCTCTGTAAACCATGTTTTTATTTTCTTTTTTCTTTTTCTTTTTTTTCTTTTTTTTAAACCATGTTTTAATTGGGTTATTTAGTGTTTTACAATTTGACTTAATGAGTCCTTTATAAATTTTAGATATTAGCACTCTGTCAGATATAGAGTTACTAGAGATCTTTTCCCAACCTGAATGTTGTTGTTTTATCCTATTGACAGTATCTTTTTGCCTTACAGAAGCTTTTCAGTTTGAAGAGGTTCCATTTATCAATTGTTCATCTTAGACCCTGAATCATTAGAGTTCTGCTCAGGACATTTTCTCCTGTGCAAATATGTTCAAGGGTATCTCCCACATACTCTTGTATTAAATTCAGTGTATCCACTTGAGCTTCAGCTTTGTTCCAGGGTGATAAGTATGAGTCACTTTGCATTCTCCTACAGAGAGACTGCCAGTTAGATCAGAACCATTTGTTGAAAATGTGTTCATTTTTTTTCCTACTGTTTGTTTTTTGGTTCTTTGTCAAACACCATGTATCCATATGTATGTTGCTTTATTTCTGGTTCTTCATTTTTTCTTCATCGATTATCCTGTCTGTTTCTATAATAATACCATGTGGGTTTTTTTAATATAAATATTGCTGTTTAGTACAGCTGGAAATCAGAGATGGTGATTTCTAAAGAAGTTCTTTTGTTATTCAGAATTTGTTCGACTATTCGGGATTTTATGTTTTTCCATATGACGTTGAGAATTGTCCTTTCCATGTCTGTGAAGAATTGTGTTGGCATTTTGATAGGAATTGCATTGAATCAGTAGATTGCATGTGGCATGATGCTTATTTTCACTGTTAATCCTACCTATCCATGAGCATGGAAGATCTTTCTGATCTTCATCTTCTGAGGTTTTCTTCCATTTCTTTCTTCATGGACTAGAAGTTCTTGTCAAACAAATCTTTCTCTTGCCTTGTTAGGATTGCACTAAGATATTCTATATTTTTTGTGGCTATTATGTTGTTTCCCTAATTTCTATCTCAGCCCATTTATCATTTGAATAAAGGAGGGATGCTGATTTCTTTGAGATAATTTTATATTCAGCCACTTCACTGAATTTATCAGCTAAAGGAGTTCTCTGGTACAATTTTGGGGTATTATGTATACTATGATCCTCAAATAGTGACACCTTGAATTCTTTACATTTGTATCCCCCTGTTCTTTTTTGGTGTCTTATTGCTCTAGATAGAATTTCAAGTACTTTATTGAATAGTCAAGAAGAGAGTGGGCAGTCAGGCGGTGATGGTGCATGCCTTTAATCCCAGCACTTGGGAGGCAGAGGCAGGCAGATTTCTGAGTTTGAGCCCAGCCTGGTCTACAGAGTGAGTTCCAGGACAGCCAGGGCTATACAGAGAAACCCTGTCTCGAAAAACCAAAAAAAAAAAAACAAAACAAAACAAAACAAAACAAAAAACAATAAAAAGAAGAAGAGAGTGGGCAACCATCTCTTCTCCCTGATTTTAGTGGGATTGCATCAATTTTCTCACCATTTAATATGATGTTGGCTACTGGCTTGCTGTATATTGCTTTTATTATGCTTAAGTATGTGCTTTGAATTCCTGATCTTTGTAATATTTTTATCATGAAGGGGTGTTGAATTTTGTTGAAGGGTTTTTCAGCATCTACTGAGCTGATCAATGTGATTTTTTTTCCTTTAAAATTACTTACATAGTGAATAATGTTGATTAATTTTTGTATACTGAACCATCTCTGCATCCCCAGAATGAAGCATACTTGATTCTGGTGAATGGTGTTTAGACGTGTTCCTGGTATGAGTTTACAAGAATTTTATTGAGTAATGTGTGTAGATGTTCATAAGCCCAAGTGGTCTGAATTTCTCTTTATTGGTTGTGTCTTTTGGGAGTTTAGGTAACAGGGTAATTGTCACCTCATAGAATAAATTGGATAATCTTCCATCTGTTTCTATTTTGTGAAATAGTTTGAAAAGAATTAGTGTGAGATCTTCTTTGACACTCTGGTAGAACTTTTGCACTAAAATCATCTGCAACTGGGTTTTTTGTTGTTGTTTGGTTGGTTGGATTGTTTTTTGTTTTTTTGGAGGGGGTTGGTTTTTTTGGTTGGTTGGTTGGTTGGTTGGTTGGTTGGTTGGTTGGTTGGTTTTTGGTTAGGAGGTTTTTAATGACTGCTTCTATTTCATTAGGGGTTATAGGAATGTTTAGATTGTTTACCCCATCTTAAGCTACTTGTATAGGATCTCTCCAATTTCTTTATGAAGGCACTTAGTGCTATGAATTTTCCTCTTAGCACTGCTTTCATAGTGTCCCATAAGTTTGGGTATTTTGTGCCTTGATTGTTGTTGAATTATAGAAAGCCTCTAATTTCTTCTTTATTTCTTCCCTGACCAAGTTATCATTAAGTAGAGAGTTGTTCAGTTTCGCCTTTGGTTGTTTCAGTTATTGTTGAAGTCCAGCCTTAGTCTGTGGTGAGCTAATAGAATGCATGAGATTACTTCAATCTTCTTGTATCTGTTGAGGCTTGTTTTGGATTGATTAGATGGTTAGTTTTGGAGAAGGTACCATGAGGTGCTGAGAAGAAGGTATATTCTTTTGTTTGGGGGTGAAATGTTCTGTAGATATTTGTTAAGTCTATTTGGTTTATAACTTCTGTTAGTTTCCTTATGTCTCTGTTTAGTTTTTGTTTTGATGACCTGTCCATTGATGATTGATGAGTAGGAGGTTGAAGTGTTCCACTATTGTTGTCTAAGGTTCAATGTGGTTTTTTTTTTTTGAGTTTTAGTAAACTTTCTTTTATAAATACTGGAGCCCTTATGTTTAGGATATAGATGTTCAGAATTGAGAGTTCATCTTGGTGAAATTTTCCTTTGATGAATATGAAGAGCCCTTTGCCATCTCTTTTGTTTACCTTTGGTTGAAAGTCTATTTTATCAGATATTATAATGACTACTCGAACTTGTTTCTTGGAACTATTTGCATGAAAATCATTTTTCCAGCCCTTCACACTGAGGTAGCATCTGTCTTTATTGCTGAGGTATACTTCTTGTATGTGCAGAATAATGGATCCTGTTGTTAGCCTGTGTCTTTTTATTGATGAATTGAGTCCATCGTGTTTTTAAAAGATATTAATGACCAATGATTGTTAGTTCCTGTTATTTTGTTGTTGGAGATAGTACTATGTGTTTGTGATTCTCTTCTTTTGAGTTTGCTGTGAGATGATTAACTTCTTCTGTTTTCTTTGATATAATTACCCTCTTGTGTTGCAGTTCTCTTTCTAGTATCCTCTGTGAGGCTGGATTAGTCCATCTATGATTATTGAGAGTTTTGCTGGGTATAGTAGCCTGGACTAGCATCTGTGGTCTCTTGGGGTTGGCAAGACAATATCCAGGATCTTCTAGCTTTCAGAGTCTGTTGGAAACTCAGGTGTAATTCTGATACATTTGCCTCTGTTTCTTGGCGCTTTTTTTTCCCTTGCAGCTCTTAATATTCTGTCTTTGTTCTATACATTTAGTGTTTTAGTTACTTTGTAGCTGGAGAATTTTCTTTTCTGGTCCAATCTACTTGCTGTTCTCTACTCTTCTTGTGCTTTTAATGACCTTTCTATGTTTAGGTTAGGGAAGTTGTCTTCTATGATTTTGTTGAAGATGTTTTCTGGCCCTTTGAATTGGGAATCTTAACTCTCTTCTAGTCCTCTTATTCTTAGGTTTGGTCTTTTCATTGTCTCTCAAATTTCCTGTATGTTCTAGTTTAGGAACTTTTTATACTTGGCATTTTCTTTAATTGGTGTATTAATTTCTTATATGCTGTCTTCTATACTTAAGATTCTCTCTTCCATCTCTAGTATTCAGTTGGTGATGCTTGTGTCTGTAGTTCCTGTTCTCTTTCCTTGGTTTTCCATCTCTAGGGTTTCCTCCAATTTCATTTTCTTTATTGCTTCTATTTCCCTTACCAGAGCTGCCATGTTGCTATATTAAAATTCTTCTATATCTTGCCCCTTTTTGTTTAAACTAAAAAAAAACTGTACACACTTTAACTACCACAACAGAATCAACTCATAAATTCATAAATTTAACAGTTCAAACATCTTTATGAAAATCCACTGGTGCTATAATCCTTTCAGCATCACTTATTGAAGGAGTGATCATCTGTCCTGCAAATGTGTGTTTTAGCATCCAGGTTTTTCAATCTGACAGTTTTCTGAATGGTCTTTCCTTTAGCTGGTTTGTTGAGCTATCCTGTACAGAGAGGACAACCTTTCTGTGTCACCTGTATTTCTGTCTTTATGTGTCTCTTCCTTCCTTAAGTCATGCCTTTCATGTACTCAGGGTGGATCTTTGTAAATTTTGATGGAACCCATAGTCTTTCATAGATAAAAACCTCTTACTCAATCCAGAACATTCCATGATTTCCATTCCAATGTTAAAACATATTTAAAGTATACAGACTGATCAAATTCAGTCTTTTTTTTATCTAGTGTCTTCCAGAAACTATTTTTCCTTCCTCATTGACATACAAAAAATTTGAAGTTAATAAAGGATTATTCAGTCTATTTCTTGGAGTTCTTATCCCCATGTCTGTTTATTAAGCACCTCTGTTAAGTTATGATTAGTTTATTCAATAAGTGCTTCACCTTTTGGATTATATGGTATAACTGTAATAAGATGTGTAATTATATAGCTAGTCATTTGGAAAACTATGCTATTTTTATACTAAATATAATATACATAAAGGTATTTTTCATCTTAATATAGCTATCATATATTTTATATATTTATGTGTACAATTTGTCTTTAGAGTTTTAATAAACTTTATAGATAAAGATGTTCGATAATGGATAAAGATCCATATTCTAACAGCTTATTCTAGAAAAGTGCTTGCATTTTCTTTTGTGATATCTGTGAAGGTATCTAAAGAGATGATTAGATTAAAATACAAAAGAATATTGTCAAACTATTAAGTCTCCAAGAAAATGACAACAGAAATTTTTAAATTTTAATTTATCTTGATTAATCTTAAACCTAATCCTGTCTTCTCTTATGCTGTTCATTTTTTAAAGTTACATGCCTACATTATTGAAAAAAGATCCTATATTCCAGTGGTTCTCGAACTTTCTAATGCTGTGGCCCTTTAGTACAGTTCCTCATGTTGTGATTACTCCCAATAATAAAATTATGTTTGTTGCTAGCACATAACTGTAATTTTACTACTCTTAAAATTTTGAATATAGATAAGTATGTTTTACAGTTGTCTTATTTGAACCCTGTGAAAGGGTCACATGACTTCCAAAGGTATTGTGACTCACAGGTTGAGTAACACTGCTATATACAGTTTTAATACAGTAGATTTTTAATCTACTGAAGATAAATTTACTCACAGACTTAAGCAATTATCCATAATAAATTCAGATCATTTAGAGGACAGCATAAGAATATAGACAGGGCTGGAGAGATGGCTCAGAGGTTAAGAGGATTGACTGCTCTTCCAGAGGTCCTGAGTTCAATTCCCAGCAATCACATGGTGGCTCATAGCCATCTATAATGAGATCTAGTGCCCTCTCCTGGTCTTTGGGCATACATGTAGACTGCTGTATACATAATGAATAAATAAATTTAAAAAAAAAGAATATGGACAGTATTTGGCTCTTTCCTGGTAAATGCATAATTTTTTAAATAAAAAGATAATATCAAAGAATACAATAAAAAAATGAACTGAGATATATGTTAAAATGATAAACAAACCTTTGTAAAACCTTTGTAAACCTTTGTACCCTTAACTTCATAGAAAAGCAGGGTACAGAGTCCACAGTAGTAAAAGAAAGTGGCTAGTAAGTAAGAAACCAGTTGATATGGTAAACATGGTAGAAAATACCTGATTAAAACTTGTACTTGGTAAGGCTTACTCTGAAGAATGTTTATGAGAACACAACAACAGAAAACACTATAGGGCCTGCCTGATGGCTCAGCAGGTAAAGACACTTGTCCACCAAACCTGACACAAGGACCCCAGCTCAATCCCCAGGACAAGACCTGATTTCTGTCTTCTGACCACCACATTAACATGCATCTGTGCGCACACACAAGGGGGGGGTAATAAAAAGGTAAAACTATATTTTAAAATACTACTGACTTAATTTTAAAATACTACAGACACAGAGTATCCAATAATACAGCCATTGTAACTTACAGATGAAAGAAAGAGAGCCTAAAAGCAACAAAAGTAAGAAAAAACAACTGAATTTAAGGAACATTTTTCAAGAAATATTTGGAAATTTCTTAATAATTTTGAGATAGTGTGGTGGCATCAGAGAACTGTAGAGTCAGGAGATAAGAGGGCTCTCCAATAGTGAGAGGCAGCTTAATGAAGGGGCTTATCTAGGCCTACCATTACATTCCCCCATTGAGCAAACTAACAACGTAAACTATTGTAGCACCTTGTTTATCCTTAGAAAACCATAAATCATCCAAATCAATAATTGATTTCTACCCTCTTAATGACGATTCTCATACTTACCAATGTAAAATGGAGAGTTTTCTGACTTGGCAAAGTCTTCTATATAGGAAATACCCAAAGGTATGATGGGGGTTTCACCAATTCCACGTAGAATGTTTCCTACCAGTACATATACCCACATTAATGATTTCATTTCTTTCACACACTCTGCATTAAAATAAGAGAAAACCACATGAATCTTTGACAGTCAAGTATAACTGACAACTATGTTTGTAAGCAAAAATTAGATCAATGTTTCATTAGAGCATGAGAAAACAAAACTAGACCAATCAAATACATTATATTGCTAAATCTATCCCTCTAAGTAATTTTTCTTATTGAACTAAATATATAATGTTGGTTGAGTAACAAAGGATTCTTAATAAGTATATTCAAACTCAGGAGGACGAATATATTCTTGGTTATTAGACATCTCTCTTCCCTTAAGAGGGAAATAAATTGTGTTCATTCATCTAACATGTCTACCAAGCCCACTGTGGTATTAAAACCTTTCATAAAAGAGCATCCTATGGTCAAGTCTCTGAGCAGAAACCAATGAGAAGCATGAGTCAACCTGTTGGGTCTTGCGTTGGCTTTAAGGTCTGGGATCTGTTTTCTATACACAAGAAGCTTTTTGAGGACAAGTTGCTTGTAGGTGAAATCATTGTTTCATATTCATATCTGTGTGGACACAGGAAACATTCACTGTGAGGATTGAGTACAAGGAGAGCATCTGGAGATTACTGACTCCTGATTCCCTCAAAACAGGGTGTCCAGAGCCAGTAAAGACATTTCCAGAGCAAGCAGTTAATCATCATGAATCCTATGGTGTGGGCAGTGAGAGTATGAAGCATGTAAAGCACTTGCTGCACAAGTCTGATGACCTACGTTCAATGCCTGAAACCCACATGAAGCAGAAAGATGAAATAGAGGAATGACATCATAAACTAGTTGTCTGATCTCCACATGTACAAACACAGGCAAACACACACATACACACACAGATACACACACACACGCACACACTATGTACCACATAAATAAAAAATAGAGATAGAGAAATAGATAATGATGATAATAGATGATAGATAAGTAGATGATAGATAGATGATAGATAGACAGACAGACAGATAGAAGATAGATAGATAGATAGATAGATAGATAGATAGATAGATAGATAGAAGATAGATAGATGATAGATGATATAGATAGATAGATGATAGATAGATAGATAGATAGATAGATAGATAGATAGATAGATAGATATAGATGATAGATAGATAGAAAGAAAACTGTAGCATTAATCTGAACATGTAGGTCTGGGGTTAAGTTCCAGAAGTGTATGAACTGGGTATGGTGTTCAGTGAATGTCACCAAAGCACTGGAGAAATAGTTATAGAAGAATGAGAGTCTCAAGGCTACTCTCAGCTACACAGCAAGTTTGAGGTCAGCTTGGACCTCATTAGAACCTGTCTTAAAAACAAAATAAAACAAAACAAAACCCTGAATGGCTGGGAGTAAAAAAACCAACCCAACAAACAAACAAAAAAACAAAACAACAAAACAAAACCCACTCACTTTCTTTACACATATCTCACAAGTCTTTACATTTAGAAGACATAGCACTCACATTCTCAAATGTCAACTCCCTGTGACTTCTAACTATTTACTAGAATTAACTGGTGTGAGATAAAGAACAAAAGAAAAAATAAAAAAAAAACCAAAAAAAAACAAAAAAAAAGACTCAATAAAGTAAAATTAAGAAGGTAAACTCTTAGAGAGACACAAAGAACACAAAACAAGACACTTCATTTGAGTTCTCTGAGCTGTGGGCCAATTCTTCCTTTCTGAGAATTCAAATACCTATTCTTCCATGTGATCATTAACTACAACAAAAAAAAATCCACATATCATAAGGAGAAGTAACAGAATCTATCATCAGGCATCACAGTCTCATGAGAACAATAAACTATGGTCATTTAACTTGAACAAATTCCCAGGGATTGCTGTCCTTGAAAGAAAATGACAGAATGCAAACATGAGAAAAATGTACCCAAACTTACAGTAGCCTTCAAATATACCTGAGAACATAAAATACCCTTCATTTAGTTCTTTATCCATTTAAAATTCAATTGCTCATTCTAGCTCCATTTATTCCCCCCAAAAGACAATAAAATGGCACTAAGAATGTTTCAAAACACAAAAGGGGAAAGTTCCTTTCCTGGAAAATAAAGAAATTGAAATATGGAGATGTCGCTCAAATAGTGATTGATGCCTGGCAAGCAACAATCCCAGGTTTGTTTCTGAGCACTCTGAACACTCAATAAAACCAGACTGGACACAGTGGGAAATACCTGTAATCCCAGAACTCAGGATACGTAGGAAGAAGATCAGAAGTTCATGAATATCCTTAACTACACAGTGAGTTTCATTTCACCCTGAGCTACCTGAGGCTCTGTTCAAAACAAACAAATAAACAAACAAATAAACAAATAGGTCTTGTGAGATACCACATAACTCTATCGGTAAAGTTGCTCATATGCAAGCCTGACAACACAGATTCCACCCCAGGACTCACAGAAAAGATAGAGAGGATTGACTTCTGAGAGTTGTTAACTAACCTCACATGAAAGTGCACACAGCATCACCACAACATACATAAACATACATAAAAAAAACAACTTTTAAAAGTATTTAAATGTAACTAACAGATTAAAAGTGTAGTCAAATTGAGCTCAATAAAATTTTGAGATTGGGTAGTAGATATTTGAAAGGCCACTGAATCTGGAATTAAGGGAAATCTAACCATCATGTTGCTGGGCACAACAAGAGATGTTCCAGGCCTCCCTTGAAAGATGCAAGAGAATCCCAATGCAGGGCCCATGTGAATACACAAAACAGAATCTAAAGTGAGGGTTTAAGTGCATATACAGAACAATTATATCCTCAGACTTGTCATCCATCTCTCAAGTGGAAACACAGGTGTAAGAAGATCCCAAAAGGTACACTGAGACACAGAGGCCAAAAAGGAGGATTATTAGATTTTCTTTTAATTCTCCATAATAAAAGACTATATCCACATTCTTTCTGGCTGCTTGTAGATCTTTTGCCTCCTTAAGAAGAGCAGAGAATCCTTTCTAAGAATTGTAAGTTGAACATACTTTGGAGAGAGCTCAATATCACCCAGTCCCTGATCAATCATCTGTTAACTTATCCTACTATAAAATTCATCAGGGTAATGCAAATCAAAATGAATCTGAGATTTCATCTTAAACCTATAAGAACAGCTAAGATCAAAAAACTCAAGCAATAGCACATGCTGGTGAGGATGTGAAGAAACGGGAACACTTCTCCATTTCTGGTGGGATAGTAAACTTGTACCACAACTCTGGAAATCAACCTGGAGGTTTCTCAGAAAATGAGAAATAGTTCTACCAGAGGAACCAGCTATACTGCTCCTGGTCATATACCCAAAAGATTCTCCACCATACCACAAGGACCCATGCTCCAGTATGTTCATAGCAGCTTTATTTTTAATAACCAGAAACTGAAAACAACCCAGATCTTCCTGAACTGAAGACTGGATACAAAAAATGTGGTTCATTTACACAATAAAATACTACTCAGCTATTAAGAAGGAGGACATCCTGAATTTTGCAGGCAAATAGATGGAACTACAAAATACCATTCTGAGTGAGGTAACCGAAACTCAAAAGGACATTCATGAAATGTATTTACTTATAAGTGGATATTTTCCATAAAAAATATCCACATCAGCCATCTGCAGATTTCTTTGGGTCTTCGGTGGGTAGTGTGGATATCCTTAACAAAATCAGATATGAAAAGGGAAAGATAACTACAGAAACTGAAGAAATTTTTAAAAATTCATTATATGTTATATAAAAGCCTATATTCTACAAAACTGGAAAATCTAGATGAAATGGATGATTTTGTAGACAGATACCATGTACCAAATTTAAATCATGATCAGATAAACTTTCTAAACACTCTCATAACCCCTAAGGTAATAGAAGTACTCATTAAAAACTTCCCAACCAAAAAAAAGTCCAGAGCCAGATGGTTTTAGTGCAGAACTCTACGAGACCTTCAAAAAGAGCTAATACCAATACTCCTCAATATTTTCAACAAAATAGAAACAGGAGAACACTACCTGATTCATTCTATAAACCCATAGTTTCTCTGATAGCTAAACCCCACAAGGACCCAACAAAGAAAGAGAACTTCAGACCAACTTCATTTATGAATATTGATCCAAAAATACTCAATAAAATTCTGACAAACCAATCCAAGAAGACATCAAAAAAATCATTCCTACAATCATGAAGGCTTCATCCTAGGGATGCAGGGATGGGTAAATATAAGAAAATCTTTCAATGTAATCAACTGTTTAACAAACATAAGGGAAAAAATTACATGATCATCTCATTAGATGGTTAAAAAGCCTTTAACAAAATGTTAAAATTCATAGAAAGATCAGAAATTCATGGCACATACCTAAACAGAGGAAAAGCAATATACAGCAAACCAACAGCTAACATCAAATTAAATGGAGAAAAACTAGAAAAAATTCCACTAAAATCAGGAATAAGACAAGGTTGCCCATTTTCTCCCTATTTATTCAATATAGCATTTGAAGTTCTAGCTAGAGCAATTGAAAAACAAAAGGAGACCAAGGGAATACAAATTGAAAAGGAAGATCTTAAAGTACCTCTATTTACAGATGATATGATAATATACATAAGTGACCCTAAAATTTCTACCAGAGAACTCCTAGAGTTGATAACTTCAGTAAAGTGACCAGATAGAAAATGAACTCAAATAAACCAGTAGCCCTCTTTTACACAAACGATAAATGGGCTAAGAAATAAATTAGGGAAACAACACCCTTCACAATAACCACAAATAATATAAAATAAATTAGTGTAATTCTAACCAAGCAACAGAAAGATCTGTATAGCAAGAACTTGTAGTTCCTAAATAAAGAAATCAAAGAACACAGGAGATGGAATTATCTCCCATGCTCATAGATCAGTAGAATTAACGTAGTGAAAATGGCCATTTTACCAAAAGTTATCTACAGATTCAATGCAATCCCCATCAAAATTCCAACTCAATTCTTCATAGACATGGAAAGAGCAATTCTTAACTTAATATGTAATAGCAAAAAACCTAGGATGGCAAAAATAATTCTCAACAATAAAAGAACTTCTAGGGGAATCACAGTCCCTCCTCAAGCTGTACTACAGAGCAATAGTGACCAAAACAAAATAGTAATATTGGCAGAAAGACAGACAGGCCCATCAGTAGCACTGAAGATGCAGAAATAAACCCACACACCTATGGACACTTGATCTTTGACCAAAAAGCCAAAACCATACAGTTTAAAAAAGATAGCGTCTTGAAAAAAATGGTGATGGCCTAACTGGTGGTCTACATGTAGAAGAATGAAAATTGATCCATATTTATCACCTTGAACAAAGCTCAAGTCCAAGTGAATCAAGTACCTCCACATAAGACCAGATATACTGAACCTAATAGAAGAGAAAGTGGGGAAATAGCATCAAATTCATTGGCACAGGTATATACTTCCTAGACAGAACACCAATGGTTCAGGCTCTAAGATCAACAACTGACAAATGGAACCTCAAGAAACTGAAAACCTACTGAAAGGTAAAGGACACCGTCAATAGGACAAAATGGCAACGTACAGATTGGCAAAAGATCTTCACTAACCTTACGTTAGATAGAGGGATAATATCAGAAAATATATAATGAACTCAAGAAGTTAGATTCTAGAAAACCAAATAACCAAATTTTAAAATAGGGTTCCGAGCTAAACAGAATGCTTAGCAGAGGAATCTCAAATGCCTGAGAAGCACTTAGAGAAATGATCATCCCTAGTCATCAGGGAAATGAAAATCAAAATGACCTTGAGGTTCCACTTTATACCTGTCAGAAGGTCTAAGATCAAAAACACAACTGACAGGATGTGCTTGTGGGGATGTGGAGAAAGAGGAACACTCCTTCATTGCTGGTGGGATTGCAAACTGATTGAACCACTCTGGAAATAAATCTGTAGATTCCTCAGAAAATTGGATGTATTTCTACGTGAAGAACCAGCTATACTGCTCCTGGACTTATACCCAAAAGATGTTCCACCATACCACAAGAACACATGCTCCAGTATGTTCATATCAGCCTTATTCATAATAGCCAGAAACTATAAAGAACCCAGATGATCCTGAACTGAAGAATGAATAAAGAAAAGATGGCTCACTTACACAATGAAATACTATTCACCCTTTAAAAATGCGGATGTCATGAATTTTGAAGGCAAATGGATAGAACTAGAAAGTATCATCCTGAGTGAGATATCCCAGATGCAAAAGGACATGAATGGTATGTTCTTACTGATAAAAGAATATTAGCCGAAAACTACAGAATAACCATGATACAATTCGCTGACCATAACCCACAGAGTATAAAAAGTTATATTTTTTATGCTTCCCACTTAGAAGGGAAAACAAAATAATCACAAGAGGCAGAGGGTGACAGGTACCTGGGTGGGAGAGATGAGAAAGAAGGGAAAGGGGGGGGCAGGATCAAGTATAAGGGAAAGACAGGAGAGAAGCTCAGAGGGCCAGAAAAATGAATAGAAATATGCAGAGGTGTGGGGTGAAGGCAGGGACAACTTCTAGATAGTCTTAGAAACCAGGAATGTAAGAGGCTCCCAAGACCCAATGGGGATGGCCTTAGCAGAAATGCCCAAGAATAGGGAAATGGAACCTTAAAAGGCAACCTCCAGTGGATACACATTGCCCTGATTTGAGACACAGATCCACTCCCCATCTTCAAATTTTTTGACCCAGAATTGTTCCCATCTAAAGGAATTGCAGGACAAAAATGGAGCAGAAACTGAAGCAAAGGCCATCCAGAGACTGCCCTAACATGAGCTCTATCCCATGCAGAAGCACCAAACCCATATACTGATGCCATGTTGTGGTTGCATAGCAGTCCTCTGAGAGCCTCTACCAGAAGCTGACTGAGATAGGTGCAGATACATACAGCCAACCATTGAACTAAGGTCAAGGACCCCTATGGAAAAGTTAGAGGAAAGACTGAAGCAGTTGAATGGAGTTGCAATCCCATAGAAAGAACAGCAGTATCAACTAACCCAGATCCCTTTGAGCCCCCAAAGTCTAAGCCACCAACCAAAGAGCATATATGGGCTGGTCTATGGACCCTGCTATGTATGTAGCAGAAGATTGCCTTGTCTGGCCTCAGTGTGAAAGGATAGGCTTAATCCTGTAGAAACTTGATACCACAGGGAAGAGGAGTGCTAGTTTGTGAGGTAGAAGCAGGTGAGTGGGGGAGCACCCTCTAAAAAGCAAAGGGGATGGAAGAAGTGTGAAGGACTTGTGGAGGGAGGACCAGAAAGGGGGCAACCTTTGGAATGCAATTAAATCAAATAATTAATTAAAAAATAATTTGGAAAAAAACATTTTAAATTAACTCAAGGGAAAATAATCCAAGAGAAAGAGCCAAGTTTAGGTAGTGAGGGAAAAGAGGGAAAGCAGAAAGTTGATGAAGTGAAGGAGGGAGTCATCTTCCAGCCCCAGCCAGCAACAAAACCTGGCAGCTTCTGCCACATGGTTCTTGATTTATAGTCAAAGATAGAAGGAATGAGTTGTGGAGTTTCCTTCTGTGACTGAAAGGAGCATTACTTCTCCCAGACAAAAAATTCTGAGCTTCATTTACTAGTTAAAATTGAATCTAAAATGTCATCAAGGACTAGAATACTCACCTGCCCATGAGGAAATGAGGTAATGACATTAAGAAACACCCAAGGCCCATAACCACACATCCAACACCAATCATGATAGGTCTGTGCAGTTTTGTTCCAAAATAACTCACGAATATAATCAACAAAAGGTTTCCTGAAAGAGGGAAATAAGAATGCTTGTTTCAGTGAAGTATCAGCAGCTCTTAGTCAACAGGTTCTCTAGCATTTAGACACTGGGGCTCACTGTTTAACAACCACCTCAAGAATACAGGGACTGGGGCTTAGGATGTTTTGGCTATTGTTTTAAAGTATAAAGCAATTATGATCCAAAGGAAGGTTTTCTTCTAGGGTGGAAAATCCTAAATCTATATTCAGGATTATCCTCCCCTTGGATCACAAAAAAATGGAGTTGAAAAGACCCAAATATGTAAATTATCTACAAACTACATAATGTTATTATGATGAAAATGTTTACCTAGTTCATATTATACATAAAGGAAAAATCAGAGAAATCCAACACTCTTCTTTTATGACTTAACATAACTCTAAGTGATCTTAAATATTGAAAGATATATGAAGACTTTGTACTTCTCCCAATGCTGTCTCTCTTTAGACAGCTATCTAAGTAGAAGAGACTTAGCCGTATTTTGAATGGTATATGTCCTTTCTATCTCCTTATTACAACCTATCTCTGTCACTGAGGCCATAATGCAGAATGTAATATTCTAAGACGCCTGCCATTTGAACTCTTTTTGCATCTTTCTAGTATATGGCTGTACCCCCTGAATACACAAAATCTTGTCTGAAATACCTATTGTTTGAAAAAAAAAGAACACATATTATGCTAAGTTCACCTCCTACATTCATTGCCTTTCTGTGTTCCTCAAATAATATATGGGAAGGCATGAGGAGAGACGTAACATTTTATCTGTGCTAAGAAAAGAGTGCTTGCAAAACTGCCTAGGAAATGCCCACCAAACACTGCTTTCACTGGCCAATGTGAGTTGCTTTCTTTCACAAGTCTTTCTAAAGACTTTGCCTTAAATCACATGTAACAGCCAGTGTTGTTATAAATAGCTAATGTATCCTACTTTAGACAGAAATCTTTCACACTTAGTCTAAAATCCATGAAGTTCACAGGAGGTAGAGTTCAGCAGGAAATAAAGCTTTCCATAAACTTGGATAAAAATTATTTTCAACAATCATTAACTGGACATTAGCATTTCTGTTAACGGTGAAATAGGAAGCAATAGTAACATGAGCAGTCATGATTCTGTGACCAAGTATAAATATGACTGTGACATTGTTGTTATTGTAAACACTACAAAATGTCATGGAGCCAATAATTACTTGAAAACTAGACCTAAATATTTACCTTGTTGTTAAAAAGCACAAATGATCCCGCCTGACAGATTGTTTAAGGGATCTGATCATTTTAATTCAATGTAAATGGTTTCCTGTTCACCTAAATACTTTAATTGCAGGTAATTAACTGTCATTGGGTTTTTAAGGCGAGTCCTCCTTAAAGAAAGACCAACATCCACTTCCAAAATTACACTGGCCACCTGAAAGGTAAAAGATATGCTCAGGAGTAAGCCCACAGTCTACTCATTTCTCATCCCTGCACATCTCTCCAGGCTCATAGTCTAGCAACATACACCTTCCCATAAAACGGGGCTGACTCCATCCCTACAAAAAATGATTTGATGCTTCATCTTCTATCCAAATGTCCCTTTCACATTAACCTCACCTTTTCTTCTTCTGGAAAGTCTTTACTCTTTCAGGAATCTTTCTTCCCTAGCACGATTTTCCTTGGCATTTTTATCAAATACATTAAAGACAATTTCACCTTGAAAGATATAAAAACTATGATTAAACTTCTAGGTCTCTTGGTTTATAGAGGGAATCTCCCTCCTTCACCCTCTGTACTCTCAGATCCCAGCTCATCAGCCAAAAGCAGGAGTTGAAGTTCATTGACACTTCTTAGGAATTGTGTCTGACACAGCTCAAACACAGCAAAGTTTCTTCATCATTCCGAGGAACTATGAGTGAAGAGCTGTCACCATCAGAAATGTGGTGGGGGGAAGAGAAACATTTGCTCTTTCCTTTGGAACATCAGTTTCTCCAAAGTCCCAAAGTGACCTTCTAAAATGCCAAAGAAAAGGCACTAACTTTTCCTTGAGTTAGCAAATGATAGAACTAGATATTAATGTTCTTCACCTATTGCCCCCTCCAGAGAAACAGAATCATGTCACCCTCTGTGGCAATAGTTAACTGCCATCATGAGGATACTTAAATAAGTAGCTTCTTCACACCAAACCAGGCTATTCAAGCAACACCAGGAAGCATGTAACTCAGTCATGTTATATAGTCTAATGCAGGAAATAAAGAGAAAATATCAATATATAAAAATAAGTAAGTGAAAGAACTCACCTAACTCAAAGCTTCCATTGATAAGTCCAACTATAAACGTGGAAATATTGAATTGTCTCTCTAGATGTGTGAGCATAAACTTCATGTAAACTCCTGATAGTGTTTTTGATATATATACACATGTTAATGCCAACACAAATACCTAGAAAGGAAAAAGATTAAGAAAAAAGAAAAGAGAACTTTGTATTCCAATTATATATCTGCCACCTGCTGACAAAACAGCCTTCAGATGTGGTGGACTATTATATCCAACTTAAACAGCACTTAATATCCAAGCACCTTCAAAGTGTAATCTCCTCTCTCTGTGTCACCATGTCTGCACTCTGGACACAGAGTTAGAATAGCTGGTTAGCATTTGGTAAACTTTGTAGATAGTTAAGCTTTGCTCTTGTATAGGGTACCTTACTTATACAGAAAGAAATGGAGTTGTTCCATGTAAAACACAGCTATTGATGGGTCTTGTACTATTGTCTGCAGGACAAGTATTGTCCCTGTTAAGGCAAGGAATGAAGAGAACAGAATTACACAGAGGCATTGTTTCTGCAGCCAATCTATGTGCTTTCTCTGCAGGAATAACAGGTCCCTGGATGTCTTTGGCCATTTCAAGACTTTACTGTCTTTTTCTGCCTTCTGTATTCCCAGGCACAAAATGGAATGCAGTTACAGCAAAGTGACCTGTGGGTTTTTTTTTTAATTGTACAATATTCTCTGTAACATTTTATCTAAGCAGTCCAAATGGTGATCATGTAATTAAACACCAGGGCAGAACACTGAGAACACTCCCAAATACCTGCCTGTGACTAATTAACTCAGTTTGAGTGATGCAGTGAATCAGATTTCTGTTTCTATTAACTGATCTTCCAGCAGCTGGCTGATGACAAATTTTATCACCTAAGTTTCTGAAACTTCTGTACTGTCTCATCTGAAATTACATTCAAAAGCTATTGTGCGAGATTTTTTATTTAATGCTTATAACTTTACTGTCACAAGTATCAAGATAGATAGATAGATGAACCAAAGCAGAAACATATGTAAAAAGACAAAAACTAATTTAGACTTGAGAGTACCAACTTTAGTATTCCTCTAAAGTACTCTATATCAGTAATATAGTATAACTCCATCTCTAGACATTTCTCTTCTAAATCCTAATGCTGTTTGCAGAGATGCTCACTCTTCCCACTGTACCTCTTCCAGAGCATGTGGCTGGCACTTTATAATTTTCAGCTGAGTTTCATCATTCAGATCCTTTATTTAAAACCAAGGCCTACAATATCACAAAAATAACCAGACTAGGGAAGATCATTTGTTTTCCTTGTGTTTTGGAGAATAAAGATAAATAGTTAATGAGCCTAGTTAGTTCTTTCTGTAAAGTATTTGGTTCTGTGTGGAAGTAAAGGAACCCAATGGTCATGCACATTCAGATCTCCCGCTATATAACATCTGTTGTATTTATGAAGATAGTCCTACCAACCTTTTCACCTCATCACTCTAGAGACTAAAACAAACCCTTTTGGGGTAGTCTTTTCATGCTTCCTAAGGTAGTTTTCTTTTTTTTTTCTCTTAAGTTCTTTCATCTTTTCTTTTTCTTTATGTGTGCATATGTTTGTGCGGAATGAGTTCATATATGTATATATACATGGGGAGAACAGAAGACAATTTCAGGTGTAATACCCCCAAAATTGTGCATATTAAAAAAGGAAAAAAAAAAAACAGAGACTCTCAGCTGCCCGGAATTCATCCAGGAGGCAAGGCTGACTAATCAGTGAGTCATATGTATCAGCAAGACTCCATCTCTTCATGCTGAAATTATACTTATATGTCAGCCTGTCTAGTTTTTATGTAGGCTTTGAAGCTTAATCTCCTATTTTCTAAGCAAGTACTTTACTGATTGAGGCATTTTCCCAGCTCTCTTGAAAAATTTTCCTTTTTTCTTTAATAATTTTTGTTGATTAAATATATTGTGTACTGATTTCATACATACATGGTATGTTCTGATTATTATCTTCTTCCCTTCTTTTCCTCCTCTATTCACCATGAGCACCTTTGTTCATAGCAGTACTTTTCTTAGAATCTCATGAGATTTGGTTTAGTTTTCTTTTACCCATGGAGTGTAACCAGCCACCTTGGTAGTCACTGGGTTAAAACTAACCATTGGTGCCTGGGAGGTCACCAGTGCATGCATGTTTGAAGTCCATGAAGGCTATCATTTCTCCTGTCATGGAAACTTTTGCTAATGATAATATTTTCAATTTAGAAAGCAGGACTTTTACTCAGTCTTCCAGTGTAGATCATTTGATCACCTTAACGTTCAAGGTAGTTCTAAATTCAGAGAAGAAGAAACATCTGATTAACTTTAAACAATTACTTCTAAATTTTACCTTGTAAAGTCATGGATTTAACAATTTTCCCATAACAGTAACACTGGTATCTACTCTTATTAACTCTAAAGTGACTGTGGTGTTTCGAATAGCAATGGTCCCCTAAATACATAGGTGCGAAGGCTTAGCCACCAGGGAGTAGTACTATTAAGAGGTTAGCCTTGTAAGAGGCAGTGCCTAACTGGACTGGGCTCTGGGGATTCAGAAGGTCCATTCAGTCCCATAGTCATTCACTTCCAGCTCCCTCATGACCTGGATGTACATCTAATGGCTCCTCCTGTACCATATCTGCCTTTGCATCACCATAATTCCTCCCATGATGGCAATGAACCAAACCTCTAAATCTTTAAACCAGCCCCATATTATTGGCTTTTCTTTACAAAAGTTACAGTGGCCATGATGTCACACTGCAGTAATTGAAACCTTAATTAAGACATTTACCAGAAACAAACTATGAGAAGTAGGGTTATAGATACCTGATGACTTTTCTTAACAAATTCTAATAATCCTAGTAACTAATAATCAAAATACTCATCATTATCCCAATATATGAAGCTGGAGATGCAGCTCAGTGGTTAAGAGCACTGGCTGTATTTGCACAGGACCAGGATTCAGTCCTTAGCACCCACCTGATAGTTGAATAAGCATCTGGTGAAGGTTAGGAGCCAAGGGACCTGGGCTCCTCAGAAGCATGTGAGAACTGAGAGATAACCTGAGGGGCTTTGGATTCCAATAATTCATACATCATTGCAGGTAAAAATACTTACTGATGCCACTGAGTCTGATACCTCTCTTTTATGTTAATAAACTTTTAGTATGTGTGAATAAGGACTTAGGAGACAGCAGCTTAGAGAGAAATATTTAGGTGATTTCTCAGAAACTAGACCAGTGCTCAAATTTCCTGGGTCAATATAAGTGTACATTTTGTGATGTAAAGCTTTGGAGCTATGAAAACAATTTGTTATCTCTAGAATACTGAAAACCACCAAACCAGCTAACAGTGTCTTCTTACCAAATAATGACTATTGAAGAAAGTATTTGTCTGACTGGATCATAAAGTTATCTTTGCACATTAATCAACGAAGTGCTGCTTTTAGTGAACTGTTTCCTAGCTGTGGCCTCTGACCTTCTCTCAAGAATTCCTGAAGGCTGAGCACTGGATTGACCTCTGACCTCAGGCTAAACTCAGCCACAACATAATACACACTTAAAATATTTTAAACCCCATTTTCTTAAAAAGGAAGGGGGCTGCAATTGAAATGTAATGTTAATTTTAAAATAGAAATTAAAAAGAAGAAAAACCTTTCCTTCTTACTTCTTATCCTGGATAAATAATCCTGGTTAGATATTCCTAATTATAAAACCAATGTTTTTAAGTCAAGACATTAACAATGTATAGGATAGAATGGCATTTGTGTTGCAAAACTTCATGTAAGCTAAACAATATTACAACAGTTTTCAATGTTTGTTTAAAAGACTCCTGTGTGTGTGTGTGTGTGTGTATACATATACATACACATACACATATACTACATATACTACATATACATTATACATATACATCATATACATATGCATATGTATATGCATATGTCTAAATAAATCCTACCTTGATCTTGGCAAAGCATCTGACCCCAGGAGTTCCAATCTTTTTCTCAGGTTCTCCCATTTTATTCTTCTGATTGTTTAAGGATGTCTGGGCTTTCAAAGTCCCACTACTGTCTTTTCATGAGAAAAGAAGTGGTTAAATTATTTGCTGAACTGTAGTAAGTCATTTTTTATTTGTGATGTTGAATTTTCTCATTTTTTATTTTTCTCTCATGCGTTAAATCCCAAACACAGTGTCTGTTCTCTCCACTCTTCCAAAGTCCCTGCCCCAACCCTTCCTTCTTCCCCAGACCAACTTCTCTTCATTCCCCTCCTGCCCCACCCTAAAAAAACGCAAGTGCTTGCCTCCCAGGAGTAGAACAGGATGTGGAATAACAAGTTACAACAAAACTAGGCCCAAACCCTGGGATCAGGGCTAAAGGAAACAACTCAGTATGAGAACGGTTGTTAAACTATTAAAGCACAGGTAAATTATTTACTAAACTATAGTAAGTGATTATGAAAAATAAAATAGGGCAAAATGAAAATTATCTCAGGGCTAGGCTGTCTTATTCAGGGTTCTCTTGTAGAGGGAAAAGTTATGGATACTGGGTATATAGAATCCTTTTTAGATATAAAATATTCTTTAGGCTTTCTTTAGGAATGTGGAAAGACCAGTCACCATTACTGGAACTGGCCGACCTGCAAAGAGAAAGGAAAGAATGCAATTTAGTCAGGTGGAACCAAGCTGAGAACCATAGTGACAGGGCAAGGCCGAAGTGACAGGGCAAGGCCGAAGTGACAGGGTAGGACTACATTCTTGAGAAAGATAAGCGTACAGAGAGTTTTCACCTGATCCTGACTCATGTAGGTTGGGTTCCTTTGGAATGTTCCACTATTTTTATGTTATACCACCCTAGCAACCCCCTCACCCCCTCCTCATTTCCTTGGTTTGTGGTTTTTCCCATTAAAACCCGTTCCAAACTGGCAGTCGGGGTCAATTCAGCTCCTGCGTGGGCATACGAATTGACCGGCAACTAGTTGTCACGCCCTAATAAATAACCTCGCAATTGCTCCGGTATATGGTGTCTCGAGTAGATTACTGGGTGGTCGCGACTTTCTGAGACTTGAGAGAGGGTCTCCCCTCTGCAGAGGTCTTCACTCTGACTATCATAAACTACTATGACAAAAAACAACTTAAAGGGAAAAGGACTTTTTATATGTTTGGTTTTCTTTTTTTTCTTTCTTTCTTTCTTTTTTTCTTTGCTTTGCTTTTACTCTTTCCTTAATTTCTAGTTTTTAATTAGCATTACATCCCAATTACAGGCCCCTCCCTTTTCTCATACCAGTCCTGTCCTTACAAATCCCTCCCTACATTGTCTCTTCTCCTTCTCCTCAGAAAAGGGGAAACTCCCCTGGAGTACGACCCTCACATTTGGGGTATCTATTCCCTGTAGAACTAATCACCTCCTCTCCCACTGAGGACAGATCAGGCAGTCCAGGTAGGGGAAGGGAATCCAATGGCAAACATCCAAGCTCCAATTGTTAGGGTTTGTTTTATTCTTACTAGTTCTTCCAGTCTTCATCAAACAAATCATGTGCTCAGTAAATGCACTTACAATCAACATTTGCACTCTCAAAGCAGAAAGGAGAAGATGCCAAGTCCCGCATGGCTGTGGATGGGATGGTGTTACATGGAATTCTACTCCTGGAGCAGAGCTAGCAGGATGTGGGTCTCCAGGAGTGCTGACAGTTGCTGTGAACATGCCACTTGTTTGTATAATAATGTATTTATTTTACTTTTTATTCCTACTTCAGGAAATGTTCTCCCTGCCAAGGTTAATGACTCCATAATTAGTAACAGAATGAGTCTGGGAGGTAAGGGTATGTCTAATATTCCTCAATCGAATGGTAAATGTTGTCACCTTCAGGTCTTCAATTCTATCCCATTGATCTATAGCCTGCCTCTGTACCAATACCATGCAGTTTTTATCACTATTTTTCTGTAGTACAGCTTGAGGTCAGGGATGGTGATTCCTCCAGAAGTCCTAGTTTTTGGTGGTGGTGGTGGTGGTGGTGGTGGTGGTAGTGGTGGTTTTTTGGTTTGTTTGTTTGTTTGTTTGTTTTGTTTTGTTTTTGGATATTTTATTGTGGAGAGCTTTGGAGGGCCACTTGCTCCTAGACACTTGATGGGAATTTGACATCGGGTCAGGACAAAAGAGGTAAGCTCAGGACAGGAATCTGATTTTGGAGAAGGACTCAGGAAACATGTCCAGATTAAGAAAATTTGCATTTGAGTTAATGCAACTCAGAGTAGGCTCAGTGGAGGCACGTGTAGCATTCCTTTGTCCTGGTTGTCCTGTCTAGCCCTTAAAAAGGTGTTTATTGGATTTTGTTTATTGCCTTGCTAGTTCCTAGACCCAGAACTGATCTAATCATTTTACTTGTACTTAAAGTGGTATAAAAACAGACTGAAAAAAAAAAAATTAAACCTGCTTCAGTCTCAGAACAGGCTGGAGTCATGCTGAAGAGGGCAGCTCAGGAACTTTGGAAATGTCATGGGACACTTGTCCCTCTGGAAGGGAGAGGCTAATTAACATTCCTCAGACCACAGGGGAGAACCTGACCCTAGGGTGGGAACACATTACACAGGACCATTGGCCACCCACAGACACAGGAAGTCCTTGCCACCTCATTCCTAACGACCAATCAGTTCAAAAGTCACACTGTTATGCCTAGTTGCTATTTCTCTATTCTACTCCCTGGGAACTATATATGTCCTGTAAGGCCCCCAGAGTGGGGAGACCCCCACTCAAGCCACAGGAGATTACGACGACCCAGAATCACTCAAGAGACCAAACTTGCTGCAAACAGCAAAAAGCTTTATTTCCAGATTTTGGGATATCAGTTGACTGAGGCCAAGACTCCCAAGAGGAGTGTCAACCCCGAGGCCCTAAAGGAAAAAAACACAAACTAGGGGGGTAAAGGGGTGAGGGGGAATCATAAGAATATCAGCAGACAGTATCATAAAAACAGTGGAAGGTCCCCAGGCCATCCGATCATGTAGGAAACACACCCTGTGTACTTTTTTTTTTAAGAATTTAATCTTGTTTAATCACCTATCATGTGGCCAGCCAGTGTTAGAATCCACGCGCAGTTTGGACAAACAACACGAAGTCAATCCAGCTTCACAGGAGGGGATTTATTTAGGGAGTGGGGAGAGAGAAGCAGGGGGGGGGGCAATGGTGGAGAGAAGAGAAAGAGGTTGGGGCGGTCCCAACTATTTAAGTGGGTGATGACATGTGTAACTTCCCAGGTGTAGGTGAGCCAGGTAGGTGAATTCTGGGAGTGGTTGTCTCAGCAACGTAGGAGTTGCTGGCCCCTGAATATGATGTCACCGGGTTCAGACTTATACTAACAGCCAGTCCTTGGAACAGCCCAGATGACTGATATTTTCTTTATGGTCAACCAGTTCCTAGAACCCAGAGCCCAAAGCCTATGAACCAGATGACCTGCATTCTTGGCTCTGCCCTTTTGTAGTCAGCTAAGTTCCTGGAGCATGGATGGCCTGGCTTCAGCTTCTATATGCTAGGGGTCTCAAAAAAGGTTTATTCTTTTCAGTCCACCAAATGAGTTGCCCAAGGTCGCCTCTCCTTTTGGATGCAGGATAATCCCAGCATGCTGGAACAATAAAATTCCTCTTGCTTTTGCATTGATCCCTGGCTCCACATTGTTCACTCAGGGGGTCCCCAGTGAGCTAAGGCTCATCAGAGTCTTAAAATGCTACAGAGTTGTCTAATTGTCTTTTTTCTTTTTAATCCTCGTTCCTACCCTGGAGAACCTGTTTACTCACTGAGCTGGCTTGGTAATTTCATTTATTTACATTTCAAATGTTATTCCCTTTCCCAATTTCCCCTCCAGAAACCCCCTATGCCATCCCCCCTACCCCTGCTTCTATGAAGGTGCTCTTCCACCTACCTACCTACTTTCCACCTCATTGCACTAGCATTCCCCTACACTGGGGTATCAAGCCTTCACAGGACCAAGGGCCTCCCCTCCCATTGATGCCAGATAAGGCCACCCTCTGCTACATATACAGTTGGTCTCTTTGGTTGATATTTTTGTTCTCCTATGGAGTTGTTGTGTTAGATGGCTTGGTGGCTCACATCTAGACAGACCACAGCAGGCCAAACTGTTACACATGAGGTTTTGTTGGAGGAGAAAATGGCAAAGGTGGTGGTGAAGAAGGGGAGGGGAGAGGTCAGAGGGGTCTGCCTATTTATTTAGATAGTGAGGTAGCCTCTCGGAGGTAAAGGTGGGAGATGAGTCAAATAGATTCTGGGAATGTGTGATGGTTGCCTTGGCAACAGATCTGCAGATGTGGGGACGTGGGGGTTACTGTCACCTAGGTGTGATGTCACTGGGTTAGGAGCTGATCCTGATACCAATATACCTCCCTTTTTCTTATCATAAAAAGAAGAAAAAAAGAGGAGGGGGAAGCCAATGATGAAAGGGGAATAGGGCACCATGTCTCTTAAACAATTTCTTGCTGTCTAAGGGCATTGTCAATTTTGGGGTGTAGATAACTTTCACCACTGGTCTCCACTTGGTAAAATTCACATCAGGTTTCCCTGTGGACAGTGGCTCCTCCATGGACAGCAGCTGGTAATCCTGTAACAAGAACTGATTAATAGTTTGGTTAGAATTATTTTGTATTTGTTGTTGAAGGAATGTAGAAACAAAATTAATGAGGCAGGGTATTGGGAGCCAACTCCTAGCAGAAAGCAGCTATCATCTATGCAGCCATCTCAGGCCGTATACTCTGACAAGAGACTTGTTTTCAACATCCACAACAGCTGAGCACACTCTGATAAACATCATGTTTTTCTCACATATCTTGTTTTGCTGTTTAGTGCCCCCAGCTGCAAGGTGCATGTGGTATCCATGGCTACAAGGCACGTGGCAAAGTGCATTCAGCTGTGTTCCCCTGTTTGTCCACAAGGGCAAGGCACATGGTAAAGGGTATAAATACCCAGGATTTCCTTTCAATAAAGAGAGACTTGATCAGACTCTGTCTTGTCTCCATTCTTTGTGTCTCTTGCCCC